TATACAGAAATGCATTGTAATAAGAAAAAGGGTTTTCCAAAAATGTGCATATTGGACAACATTTTGTATAAATGTTAGGAGAAACATGCACTAAAATCCTGCTGAATATTCTTTTTCTTTTAAAAATTTTTTATTCAGTTTTACATTTAACATTTACGCTCATTCATAAATCATGATAATAGAAATGTAGGATTCCCTGAATCCTTGGACTCCTCTCCACCCTTCCATGGATTCCATTGTCAATCTTTCCCCACCTGCATCATATAATGTTTTCCATTCCATTCCTTAAAATTCTGTTCATACCATAGTTCTTGTTACATTACAATTGTTGAAGCAGCGTTCACAGTTAGAAGATGCTATCGTTGTGGGTCAACCAAGCATTTAGTACGACAGTGCACTGTGTCTGTGGGAGAAAATACAAGACAAGGGCGGCCTGCGTTTGCTGGGAGGCGAGGAAACAGGAAGAGTCGAGTCCAGTATGTTTCTGCAGCAGTTCGAGGCACCAGTCACGACGTTGGACAAGACTGGATTTTAGACTCAGCAGCGACAAACATTTTTGTTAAGTCTGCACAAACCCTTGTAGAAAAGCAGCCTTGTAAATCTGTAAATGTAGTACTAGCTGATGGAACAGTGCATGAGTCAGCTGGAAAGGGTAGTGTGAATATCAACTGTTTAAGTACCAAGTTTACCAATGTTTTATGTGTACCAAGTTTAGAAAATAATTTGCTTTCAGTAACAAGTCTTGTTAAGCAGGGATTTAAAGTAACCTTTTCTGGTTCAGGCTGTAGAATAGAGAAAGCTGGAAAAGTGGTTACAGCGTCACTACAAAATGGTTTGTTTGTTTTGAAAGACCAGCTAGTAAGTGAGTCTGGGGCATGTGTTAAAGCCTGTAATAGAGCCTTGCATGATGAGTGCCAGCATCTGTGGCATCGTCGTTTGGGGCATGCCAATTTCCGCAGTATTGCAAAAATGCCAGAATTAAGCAAGGGAATTAAAATGAAAAAATGTTCAGTTTTTCTAGACTGCAATACCTGCAAGGAGTCTAAAAGTAAGCGAGGGTCTTATCCTGAAAGTACTAGAATTAGCAAGAGGCCATTTGCTTTAGTACATTCAGACCTTTGTGGGCCATTTGCAGAGTCTGAAGGAGGAGCAAAGTTTTTTTTGGTTCTTGTGGATGATTATAGCCGGTATACTTGGGTATATTTGTTAAAACACAAAAGTGAAACTGGTCAACTGATTAAGAATTGGGTCAACTATATAGAAAGGCAGTTTCCCTACAAAGTTACCCAGTTGCAAAGTGACCCTGGAGGCGAGTTCATGTCTGAAGCCCTCCAAGTTTGGTTGAAAAAGCGTGGTATTTGTCACCGTAAATCGTGTCCTTTTTCGCCTGAAGAAAATTCAGTTGCAGAACGCAAGATAAGATCTTTACAAACAATGCTAGATTCAATGCTATGTGATTCTGGCCTATCCAGGAAGTATTGGGGGGAAGGAATTCTGTGTGCTAACTACATACAGAACAGATTGTTTCATTCTACCATAAACAACACCCCTCATTTTTTGCTATATGGAAAAAAACCCTTTTTGGACCATGTTAAAACTTTTGGTTGCTGGGCTTGGGTTCACATCCCAAAAGGACAGAGAAGGAAAGGAGAGCCCAAGGCAAAGAAACTTAGGTTTGTTGGCTATCAAACTTGGTCAAAGGGGTATCGTTTTGCACTAGGGCGTGGCAGAGTTGTAATATCAAGACATGCAGAGTTTTGTGAGCAAGATGGTTGGGTTCGTTTACATGGAAATTCAGAAGTTGTGTTATCTTCTGATGATACAGATAAATTTGTAAAGCCACAAATTAAAGAAAGTTCTGAAAGTGACAGTGATGAGGATTCAGGGGATGAGGATCCCAGTACACAATCTCCTAAAGCTGAACCAATTTCTCCTGAGCAGGGAGAATCAGAAGGGGAAGATAGTTCAGAGGGGGAGAGTGTTCAAGTTAGAAGGTCACAAAGAAGCAATAAGGGGGTACCTCCAGAAAGGTTTACTATACAAGAAGCTAAAACTGTTGATGTGAAAAAGGAACCTCGTGATTATGAGGAAGTTTTAAAGTTACCACACCAGGAAATAGTAAGGTGGAAAAATGCAATGAAAGCAGAAATGAAATCTTTAGCAGAACACAATGTCTTTACCATTGAGCCATTGCCTGAAGGAAAAAAGGCAGTGGGCTGTAGATGGGTGTATAAAATAAAACATTTGGCAGATGGTGATGTTAAGTACAAAGCCAGACTGGTAGCACAAGGCTTTACTCAAAGAAAAGGTGAAAGCTTTGATGAAACCTTTTCTCCTACTGCAAGGAGTGAAAGTGTACGTTTATTGCTAGCTCTTGCAGCACAACGTGGGTTTAAGGTAAACCATTTTGATATTGAAACAGCTTATCTTAACGCAAATCTGCAAGAAGAAATTTTTATGAATCAAGCGCCAGGTTTTGAGGCAGGAGAACAGAATTCTGTATATAGGCTGAACAAAGCAATTTATGGGCTCAAACAGTCAGCTAGAAATTGGAATGAGTGTCTTGATAATGCTTTAAAAAATCTTGGTTTTAAAAGAAGCTTAGCTGATAACTGCTTGTACACTAAAGGAAAGGGTGATAAACAAGAATTGTGTTTGTGTTATGTTGATGATTTGCTTTACTCTACAAAAAGTGACAAGCAAGTGGAAAAATTTGCAGAACAACTAAGAAAGGAATTTAAAGTAAGAGATTTGGGTCCAGTAAAAAATTATCTCGGTTTAGAAATTCAAAGAACAAACGATGGAAGTTTTTTGTTGAGTCAAAAAGACAAAATAATGGAGTTACTTGAAAGAAACAATATGCAAAACTGCAAGGGAGTAAAAACCCCAATGGAAATAGGTTTTTTCAAAAATGAAGGAGAATGCACAGAACCTGTAAATCCTGAAATGTACCATTCAATAATTGGAAGTTTATTATACATTTCATTGTGGAGCAGACCAGATTTGAGTTATGCAGTTGGAATACTAAGCAGACTAGTAAGCTGTCCTACAGAAAATGCCTGGAAAGGTTTAAAACGTATTTTCCGGTATCTAAAGCAAACACTTGATTATTGTTTAAGATTACCATCTTCAGGGTCCACCAAATTGCAGTGTTACGTTGACAGCGATTGGGCCAACCTGCCTGATAAAAAATCAATTTCTGGAATGGTATTTCAATTTGGGAATTCTTTGATAGGTTGGAAATCCAAAAAACAAAGTATAGTGGCCACATCATCAACTGAGGCCGAATACTGTGCATTGTCGGAATTATGTAATGAAGTTAAATTTTATGTTCAGATCCTCAAGGATATAAACGTACAGTGTGATTATCCCGTTCAAATTATGGAAGATAATCAAGCCATAATAACTTTGTCTGGGTCTGACCTGTTTAGAAACAAATCAAAGCATTTGGAAATTAAATATCAAAATGTAGCTGAAAATGTAAAACAGAACCAGATAATGCTGAAGTATTGTGAAAGTACACAAAATGTGGCGGATGTATTTACAAAAGCGTTAACTTTTGAAAAACATGCACGACTGGTAGCAAAGTTGGGAGTTGCTGTGTGTGATATGTAAATATGTTCTGTTCTGTTTAAAATATTATTGTTTCTGTTTGAATGAGAGGGGGTGTTAGAGGACATTCGGCACAGAAACATGTGTGTATACCTTTAAGAAGTTTCTGGGATTAATTGGCTGCAGGTGACCGTTGCTATAAAGGAAAAAAGCTGAGTTTTGTTGCTTGCCTGCAGGAATAACATCCACCAGAGTTTGTGTTTATTTGCTTAGTAATAAAGTCTTCGTTTTAGTTTGGGTTTTTACACCTATGTCTCCTGGAGTCACTCTGTCCTCTGCCACCGGCTGGAAATCCCCCTCCAACACTTGTTACATTACAATTGTTGTCATAATCCTGCCAAAAATCCTGACGAATATTCATAAGGAATTCTTTAATGTTATTTTTTTAAAATGCAAACAAAGTTGGAAGCAGCAATGATTCGGAATCTCAGTTGTTGAAACTGTAGGATGGGAGGGGCTCTTGTGCTTGGATCCTGCTAGCGGATTCCTCATAATGGGCATCTGGTTGGTCACTGTGAGACCCGGATGATGCCCCATTGGCCTGATCCAGCAGGCTCTTCTCATGTTTTTTCCGTGCAAATGTGAAGAACTGAAGTGAAGATTGGAAAAATGAGAACCTGAGCCAATCCGAAATGGACAGATTTGTCCCTCCGTATGTGGGGCTGGACCTTGCACAGTCCACATGTCCCCCCAGTATGTATTTCTTCTCTCATTGCTGGAGTTCCATGCATAGCGCCAGGACAGCTGAAGCAAAAGCTCTCTGTGCAGAGTCACAGAGGATGCTAGTGCAGGGCGCGTGATCACCCCCCCCATCTATATCTGATGATCAAGCATCTGGAAATCAAACCTTCTAAGGGACGGTTGAGGGAGTTGGGTATGGAGAAGGGGAGACTGAGAGCTGATAGGATAGACACCTTCAAAGGTCAGAAGATGGAGCAAGCTTGTTTCCTTCTTCTCCAAAGGGGAGGACCTGAACCAACAGATTCAAATTGCAGGAAAGGAGGTTCCGACTAAACGTTAGGAAGAACTTTCTGAGGGTAAGAGCTGTGTGACAGTGGAACAGACTCCCTCAGAAGGCCACCTGTCAGGAATTCTCCAGCCGGGATTCCTGCTTTGATGGAGATTGAAACAGATGGCTCTCGTTCAACTCTACAGTTCTGTTATTCTATGACCTCAGAAGCTGGAGGTATTTAAACAGAGATTGAATGGCCATCTGCTGGAGTTATTTAACTGGGATTCCTGTATTTCAGGGGGTTGGACCAGATGACTCTGGGGATCCCTTCCAACTCTGCAATTCTACGATCTTCTCATGTCACCTTTGTGTGTGTCTGTTTTTCTCCCCTGGTTTTCAGGAGTGAAGCTAAGCAGCCGTGGTGAATCATCTGCCTCTGATGAAGCTGGCTCCTCATGGCCATGGCCAACCTGACCCACTCCTGGCCTCCCACGTTCTTCCTGCAAGGCATCCCGGGGCTGGAAGCCTACCACATGTGGCTCTCTGTGCCAGTGTCCTGCATCTACGTGGTGATCATTGCCGGGAACTGCACCATCCTCCTGGTGGTGGCCACAGAGCCAGCTCTCCACAGGCCCATGTGCTACTTCCTCTGCATGCTGGCAGCTATTGACTTGGCAGCCTCCACCTCCGCCCTGCCCAAGATGCTCTGCATCTTCTGGTTCCAGGGCGGGGAGATCCAAGCCGTTGCCTGCCTGGCCCAGATGTTCTTCATCCATGCCTTGTGCATGATGGAGTCAGCGGTGCTGCTGGGGATGGCGCTGGACCGCTATGTGGCCATCTGCTTCCCGCTCAGGTACAGCTCTTTCTTCTCCAGCTCACTGGTGGCCAAGATGGCTGTGGCCGGCATAGTCAGAGGAACGCTGCTGATGGCACCTTGCCCTTTCCTGATCCGGAGGCTGTCCTACTGCCGGACCAACGTCATTCGCCACACGTACTGTGAGCACATGGCAGTGGTCAAACTGGCCTGTGGGGACACCAGCATCAACCGCACCTATGGGCTGAGTGTGGCTCTGATCGTCATCGGAGGAGACCTTCTCTGCATTGGGCTCTCCTACTTCTTCATCGTCCGTGCGGTGCTCCGTCTCTCTTCCCGCGAGGCGAGGCACAAGGCTTTCGGCACCTGTGGCTCCCACCTCTGCGTCATCTTGATCTCCTACAGCCCTGCCCTCTTCTCCTTCTTCACCCATCGCTTTGGCCACTCCGTGGCCCCCCATATCCACATCCTGCTGGCCAACCTCTACCTCCTCTTCCCTCCCATGCTCAACCCCATTGTGTATGGAGTCAGGACCAAGGAGATCCGGGAACGGGTCACCAGGGTTTTCCTCCCAGCAGGGTCATGGTGAAACTCAGGCTGAGTTGAGACTGAATCCCTTCCCCCTAAATGCCAGCCCTACCTGGCTCGAAGGGCCCTGGCAAACTCCATTTGTAGCTGGTTGGATTGTACGATATCATCTACCATTCCTGTACCTCGAATCCAGGTGCCATGCCCCAAATAAGTTCTTCTGCAGCTCGGAATGCAAGGAAGAGGATTATTGATGGCTGCTAGCCATGATTGCTATGCGCTGCCTTGGTTAGAGGCAGTGATGCTTCTGAATCCCTGTTGCCTGGAAACCTGAGGAGGTGAGAGGGCTGCTCTTGTGCCCAGGTCCTGCTTGTGGGTTTCCCATAATGGTCACCTGGTCACCCACTGTGAGAACAGGATGCCAGACTAGAGGGGCCCTGGTCTGACCCAAAAGTGTCTCCTTGTCCTCTTAGCTCAGTCCCAGTCTGCATCTGCATTGGAATTGATTTCAATATGTCTTTACTGTTTGCTGCCCTGGGCTCCTTAGGGAGGAAATGTGGAATATAAATTAAACCAGTAAATGTGTCAGAAGGGGGCTCTTTGTGCATGCAAATGTCTGAGCGTGTAGGTCCTTTACACAATGGTGGATTCTGGCTCCAGTAAAAACTCCCCACACTGGCAAACCCATGCGTGCATATGTCAGGATCCATCTAGAGCCCCTTCTGATGGATGACAAATACAAAATGGTGAGAAGGAGGAAGAAATTAGCCTGAATGGTCCCACAAGCCCATCACGTGTTCTCTCAGTGTAAGGTGTGTGTGTCATCCGAACCCTGCAATGGCTTCACTGCAATAAGTGAGAGCTCCAGTTGAAGGAGGAGCTTTCACAGCTGAGAATTTGTGTGCCTGTTCCTCTGAACCAGCTGGCTTTGACTGCCTGGCCTGCTGAATGCCAGGCAGTGGCACGAGTGTTGTGGAATGCCCTCCCGGAACGAGAGGCCTCCATCTGTATCTGAGAGCCAGTGTGGTGTAGTGGTTAAGAGCTGTAGACTCATAAGCTGGTGAACCGGGTTCACATCTCCGCTCCTCCACCTGCAGCTGCTGGGTGACCTTGGGCTAGTCATACTTCTCTGAAGTCTCTCAGCCCCCACTCACCTCACAGAGTGATTGTTGTGGGGGAGGAAGGGAAAGGAGATTGTTAGCCACTTTGAGACTCCTTCGGGTAGTGAGAAAGCGGGATATCAAATCAAACCTCTTCCTCCTCCTTCTCCTCCTCCTCTTCCTCCTCCTCTCTTCTTCTTCTTCTTCTTCTTCTTCTTCTTCTTCTTCGAGCATTCCACCGGCTCTTGAAGACACACCTGTTCAGACAAGCATCCCTCCACCTCACCCCCAAACATGGACATCTGGATCTTATTCTTTCAGTTGTCACTTTTACTGTGTTAATTGTTGTGCTTTTTAATGGACTTGTTTATCTGTGAATTTTAATTATATATGGATTTTATACATGTAGACCCCTTAGACACCGTTGTAGCACGTGAGTAATATATACACTGATAAATGAAGAACAGTAATAACGGAGAGGTGGTACAAACACGATTGCAGTGTCCTTTACTGGGCAATATGTGGCTTAAAGGCTCTCTAAGCTTCAGTTGCACAAAATCCAGGCAAAGGAAAATCCGGAGCTTCTGGGGCCCAGAGTGTTAAGCTGGGTGGAAAGGGGGCAGTCCAGTTTTCTTGCTCTTCATTGTATCTCCATTATGGAGCAGATGGTTACACCAAATTGTCGCACAGGCAATACCCCAAATAAAAGAGGCTTCATGCAAAAAGGTGAATCTGTCCATTTTTTTAGGAGTTTCTGCTGTTTCCTGACAGTCAGAGGCTCAGAACTGTCAGCATCCTCTGTCCCCAGCTAGTTCACACAGCCCCCAGCTGGGCGGGGGTCAGTCAGTTCAGTTAACCCCCGAATCTCCACGCTTTATCTTTCTCTGTGTTCAGCAGAGCTGGGTGTCTATGGGCCAGTCTCAAAGCAGGGCTCACAGTCGTGTCTCTCCTTACCCTCCTTCTCCAGGCACCGTTGGTCGGGTAAGCAGTTCACAGTTCTGTCTTTAGACC